ATTAAGCTTCTGATTTAGTTGGTGCAGACGCTAAAGGATCAGCTGACACTAAATAGGAAAGGTTTTCTATCGAAACTCTCGAACCTGTTTCGAAGTCATTTTAGGATTCAGTTTCCGATCATAATAATTCATTCTTGTTGTTGCCTCCATACAGGCCTGTTAATTGGAGGGTAGATAACATAATACAGAACACAATATAGGTAGACCAAGTTATGAATGGGTTATCACTTCGTGTTAATAAATTGAATCTTTATCCTAATTTAACTCCAAATTATCTCATGAGGTTAAGATTGTCCCAAACGATATAAAAATATGATAGTCTATTTTCTCAACCAAAATGAGATAATCTAAGAAAAGTTCCCAAACTGGATTACGGTTGAATTATAGTCGAATAAATTGTAGTCATATAAGCTTCATCCTGATTGTTACTTTAAGATTTTGGTTAGGCTAAATGGCCTTTTCAGGTCCCATTTACCTTAAATAGTAAAAAAAAATTATAGATTAAGACCAAATATTCCAAGAGGGAATGAAGCTTATTTTGGAAGCATAAGTTCATTATCACAATTCACTACTGTCCAAATAAAAGTCCCAAATTACTTGTAGGTTGAGAAATAGAAGAGGGAAATTGACATTTAGGTACAACAACACAAGATAAAGTTCGAAGCGGAGCATTGGTGCAATGACAAAGTTGTCCCCTTATAATCATAGGCCACGAATTCGAACTCTGAAAGCAACCATACTACTTGCATTAAGGTAGATTATTTGCATTACGCCCTTTGGGGCACAACTTTTCTCCAAATTCTGTACGAAAATACGAGATATTTTGTGCACTAGATTGTCCCATTTAACACAAGATAAAGTTCTTCACACAAAATTGCTACTTTTTACTTGTATAAAAATGTTAAAATGGGTGGTGAACCTTAGACACATGGAGAAAAGTTCCAATCATTAGAATTACACAAAAGTGACTTAACCCTTCTCATTCTTCTTCAGTCCTTCTCAATGGTGCTCTGTAAAATCATCATTACAGGAAAAACACTATGTTCCCAAGGGAAGTACTGCCCCCACACTTTTTTCTCATAAAACTTTTGTTAACATGGTTATTGATTTCATCAAATCTAAGCTAGAAAAGAGGGCAAATACAAAATTGACTTGTCAACCGAAACTAATTAGATTCACTAGCCAAAAAGTATATATAAGTATAAAAAAATGTATACTATATCTATATAATACACAATATACAAAAATATATATTTTTTGTCGACTACTTATGGGAGCGGCAAAAAATACAAGTATATCTAAAAAATAATGGGAGAAATTCAAAAATAGCCAGATTTACAACTGGTAAAGATAAATTCGAAATTTAGCCACTTTTTATATAAAGATAAATTTTAGCGAAAACACAATTCAAAAAACCCGAAAAATACGCCAATATATTATGTTGGAGTTCCAGCATAAGTATACTTGAACTTCAGCATATTATAGTGGAGTTCCAGGATAAGTATGCTGGAACTCTAGCATAATATGATGGAGTTCCAACATAAGTACACTAGAACTCCAGCATAATATACTGGAGTTCCAGCAAGTATATCGGTCCAGCATAATATACTGGAGTTTGGAGCACCGGTGCTCCAGTCTCTAATATATTATACTGGAGCCAGCAAAGTATACCGGTCCAGCATAATATGCTGGAGTTCATACACAGGTGTACTGAAGTCCAGTATATTATGCTGGACCGGTCTCTGTTGCAGCAAAATAGTGGCTATTTTTTATTGACTTGGTAAACGCTGGCAATTTTTGAATGACCAGTCCGAAAACGGGCTATATCGTGCTATTTTTACAAAAATAATAGGCTTACACATGTAACAATGACAAGAGGGCCAAATCCATCTCATTCTATAATGCATTATAGTTTTGCCTTATTATTAGAGAAAAGGAAAAGGACAATTCTATTTTGGTTTGAAAGGGTTCTTCCCTAGAGCATCTCCTATCATTAACTCAGAAAAGTGTTACAACTCACAAACAATATACTGCCATAAACTATTGTAATCGCTCTAATCAATCATTATCTAATTGATAAGTTAACTATCTTGATCAAGGTATTACCTAACTTTAAGTAAACTTAATCCTCTTTTTTTTTTTTTTTTTTTTTTTTTGAGAAATGAAACTCAAACTTTAAGCGAGTGATCCTTGCGCAAAACTCATGTGAATCTCTGTATCATTCCAATTTGGCCAAATACATATACAAACCATTAAATTTGGCCCAATTTTTCATTTTGGCACTTTAACTCAGCCTTGTTCCATTCTGGCCCTCCAACCCCATTTCTTTTGTTCCACTTTGACACAAAAAATTCTCCTAGGTAAAAATGCAGCGCGTGCAAATACCCACCTGCTACCCCCCCACCCCCCACCC